TACGTGGTATCGGTCCATTGTTCTAAACATCCAGCATGGAATGTGTGGTTGCATAGGATAGATACAACGCTATCATCCATGCGCTCCAAACACACTGCACATGTCGGAAGCTCAGTCAAATGGTTAGAAGATCCCGCTTCGGTAGATGCCGACGAGCTAGCGCACAATGCAGCCACCTCATCTTCTGATGCCTGGAAGGTGCACAATTTCCATCTTCTTCAAAGAATTTTTGCATGACAGTTGCAGATATTGAATGGAAACTCACACATTCTATCCTATCAACAAATAACAGTTTACATTGATTTGTTTCCAAACTGTTGAACTGCATTCCATTGTATTCTTCGAAAAACACTACTGCATCATTCTGCAACAGGATAGCGTCATACAGCTGCATAGCGGAGCAAATTCAGAACTTACATGAGTTTTGAACTTGAGAATGATCATATACTCATTTGGAGTAGAATCCCTTATAACCTTGATCCGTTCAATAGTCTGTATAGCGCCTCCTGTAGCACGCACTTGCATTCAAATACGGAAAAAGAAAAAACTCGCAAGCGTACCAATAAATAGTAAAATCTCCCGTAGTGTAATTTGCGCAGGTATAGCTATCATGCATAACATCCGACACTGCACATCCTTTCCTAGGCCGTCATCGCTGGAAAGATTTGGACAAAATCAACAACGTAATATTGTGAAAACATACTTATATTTGAAGAAATGAAGTATTCCCTCCGTTTTCTCAACAAATGGATTCCCATAATAGTACGTGACATGGTCAGGAACTGAAAAAATCTTTTGCAACAAGCACCCTAGCAGTAGCACACATGTACCTACACTGCACAGTTTCAGAGCCTGCTTTCGAAGATCGCGAAGACTGCGGAAAAACTTCTGCATCTGATGTGGTACTGACCGCATCAGTACAACGATCTCCGTCAAGCGATTCAACTACCACTTCCGAGTAAGTACGACGACCTCGATAGTTAGCTGACTGTTGAGGGATTTCCTAGAACAAAAAAACATACGCTAACGCTAACGCACGCATACTTGATCCGCTTAATCCGCTTGATCCGCTTCATTATTGGTCAAGTCAGCGAATTGACCAATAGCGAAGCAGTTGTCCATTTGACCCGCTCGATCCGCTTCATCCACTTCAC